AGTCGCGATTTGGTTTCCTTACTAAAAATGGGAGGATTTAATTTGACTAAATTTGTCAGTAATGCTGATGAAATCACTTCAGCAATGAACCCCGAGGAATCCGAAACCTCATCTTCACCCATCAAGGAAATATGTAACGGTGCCGAACAATCATCACACGTCTTAGGTCTTAAGTGGGACCATGTGAAAGACACATTGGTTGTTAGCAGAGGCGTGGATCGTCCTCTCGATAAAGCAATAACTCAACGAACCGTCTTGAGTTTCGTCTCTTCTGTGTTTGACCCTGTTGGGTTAGTAGCTCCATACACAGTTAGGGCCCGTCTTTTACTGAAAGATATTTGGAAAATCAGTGGTCAAAGTTGGGACAACGAATTGCCAGAAGACATAAGAGATAAGTTTCTCGAGTGGCACTCCGGTCTCCCTCTCTTAGGGCAATTGACTATTCCCCGTTGTTACTTCACAGAGCCTGTTGATCAAATTGAGCTCCACATGTTTGGTGATAGCTCGCAGGACGTTTTCTGTGCTGTTGGATTTTTGCGTGCGCGACTCGCGAGCTCGCATAAAACTCAAATATCTTTCATCTTTGGTAAAGCTCGCGTTGCGCCCATGAAAGCGCTATCTATACCGAAGCTAGAGCTTCAAGCTGCTCTGCTCGCCACACGACTAAAAGATGATATACTGACCGCCCTTACCGTCTCTATTAATCATGTCTTTATGTGGACAGATAGTACAACAGTTTTGCAGTGGCTAAACTCCACTGAAAAATTACCTGTATTCGTCGCTAATCGTGTCGGCGAAATCCTCGAGTCGACCACTATTGATGAGTGGCACCATGTTCTGAGCGGCGATACTCCAGCTGATACCGGTACGCGGGGGATTTCTTCGGAAGCCCTCAAGGATAGCAGCTGGGTTATTGGTCCGAGCATTCTCAGGACTACTGATTGGCCGTTTATACCCGACGAACGTGTAATCAATAAAATTCGTTTGAAGGGTCCTTCTTGTGATGTTGATAATTGCTTGGAGACATCATCTTCCTTCGTCACCGATGTCACATCAATCAAACATCCCGAACACGGGTTCAATTGGGAAAGGTTCAGTTCCTTTACAAGATATAAACGAGTAGTCGCTTTTATGTTGAGGGTGTTGCCTTCACATAAGCACTTTCGTGGTAAAGACTTACGAATCACCGACCCTACTGAACTTGATATTGCAGAAAGCAAACTGATTCATCTTGCTCAGATGGAATCCTTTCCCGTTGAGTTAAAAACACTCACCGCTGGCAAACCTATTAAGAATAGTAGTAAAATTGCCACATACTCGCCATTTATCGGTCCCGCTGGAATCATTCGTTCCACCGGACGGATTGTGCGCTTAGTGGAGGATACCGAGTTTGATACTAAGCACCCAATAATACTCGACGCCCGACATACCTTAGTTCGTTTGTTGGCCCGCAGCCTCCACCATAAGCATTTTCATCAAGGATTAGATTACATGCGCTCCGTTTTAAATATGAAATATGCAATACTTGGGTTGCGTCGACTACTTCGGTCTATCGAAAATCAATGTGTGACATGCCGTAAGCGCAAAGCAAGCACCATCCAGCCAATTATGTCCGATTTACCTGTCGAACGTCTCGGATATAAGCAACCACCCTTCAATCATACGGGTGTGGATTACTTTGGACCGCTTTACGTTCCGGTTCGCAGAAGCACGGAAAAAAGATGGGGATTCCTTTTTACTTGCCTCACCACCAGGGCTGTACACCTTGAGATTGTACCATCTCTGGACACCAGTTCGTGTGTCATGGGCATTGAACGTTTCGTTGCGCGCCGTGGTACGCCAAGCACAATCTGGTCGGATAATGGCACGAACTTCGTTGGTGCGGAAAAGGAATTACTTGCCTGCATCAAGAGCTGGAATGGCATGGCTCCGACCATTTTTGCACACAAAGGTGTTACTTGGAAATTTAACCCGCCAGGCGCACCCCATCATGGCGGCTCCTGGGAACGCCTCGTCCGAAGCGTGAAGCGCGTGCTGTACGATATCCTAGGCAGTAGGCGAGTCACTGAAGAGGTGTTAGGAACAACACTCTGCTTAGTTGAACAGGCTTTGAATTCGAGGCCAATCACTCCCGTTAGTACCGATTCACGTGAGTTAGAAGCGTTAACCCCAAACCATTTTTTGCTTGGACAACATGCCACAAGCTTTCCTTCGCTTTTACCCGGGGAGCACTTCGATCACAAGAAAAGGTACGTGCGAGCGCAGTCATATGCTAACGCGATTTGGTCTCGTTGGCTTCGAGAATATGTTCCCTCGCTGAATAAGCGTGTCAAGTGGCACACTCATTCTGACTTCACTCTTAAAACAGGCGATCTCGTGTGGGTGATTGAGCCCGATAGTCCGCGTGGGTACTACCCTCTCGCCCGAATCGTCAAGCTAAACTACGGACAGGACGGTTGCGCTCGATCCGCCCTTGTTAAGACCGCCACCCGTGAAGTCACTCGGCCGACCGTTAAGCTCGCTCCGGTTCTTCCTTCTTCAGGGGGGGAGGATGTTGCAATGCAAATGTAGAGTATAGATGCATATAAAACAATAGTATAAATGCATAAAACTGAACCAAAATGTAACAACAATAAGCGCAGTTGGCCGAGTGGCCTAAGCTACAATAACGCCCACTATATAGACTCTACAGTTGACGTAGGTTCGAGTCCCCCACCTGCCCATGTATTAATATACTAAAAAAGGGGGTTATATCCTATTTTAACTGTTTTGTTGATTCTAATTTGGTTCAACCTTGATTAAGGCTGACCGCTAAAAAAGAGCAATTTGTCTCAAGGACATTACCGACCGGTTCTTGTGGCTAGCTTGCGCCGATTTGTACCGAAACAAGTTGATGATTGAAGCAATACGATATTTATGCTCGATAGAGATTTTTGATGAGTTCTTGCCGAAAAATGCTCTCATTAATTTAAACTTCTTGAACCTTCAATTTTGTTGATTTACGGAGATTGAGCGCACAGCAGCTTTTTTTGCGACATATTGCGGTCCCTGTTAGTTTTAACGCCCTTTTCCCAGCCTCCACCCCCCCCCCCCCCCCCCCGGGAAAAAAAACGAAAAAGCTGACCAATTGTCAAATTTTACTGTTATATATCTGAACAAAAAAAGTTTTTATCAACCTACTCAGCCCAAAATTTTAAGTATCAAAGTATGAAATTTAGAAATATAAATGCTCGAACCTGATTGGTGGAAATTAAATACATACCGGGTTCATAGTTGGGTTGGAACACAGCATTTAATCAGTAATGATGCGCTGCTGCTGCGTTAGTTCGGAAATTTACGTAAAAAGACCTTAGATGTAAAACTACCCTGAAAAAACTGAACTTTAGGCGAGTAGCACCCAATATTCCGATAGAACTTTGGAAAAAATGTATTAAGAAAAAAAAACGATATTTTTTCATTTTTTGGTACTAGCCACATACATTTTCAGCCGACCGCCCCTAAATTGTTTTAATTTGGCGCAAATTCGTCTTAATTTTGAGGTAGAGTGTGCGCCAAAAGAAATGCAAGCTTCTGTCAAAAAGTTCCAAAAAGCGCCCAAAAACGGTCTTTTTGGCCTGTTTTTTTCATTAATTTGCCTGAGCCGCAGACATTTTTGTCATAATAGTTTTTTTTTACTTTTAAAAGGCTTAAAAAAGACGTCGAAATTTACGCCAGGTAACCCAAAGATTCGAGGATCGATACCCACACTGTCAATTATTTTGTTAAACTGCTCTGAAAAAAATAATCACTCCTAGCATATATAAACTTCATTTTCCTTGTAAATTGGATGAAATTTTCGAAATAAACGAAACTTTTTTGATTTTTTCCCCCACATTTATTTAAAAATGATCACCGATTGATATTTTAATAGCGTTCAAGTTTTAATAAATAACTTGCGTTAATTCTAGTTGGATTGATTTCTGAGCCGGGTTGAAGTCGTCGCTTGCTCGTTACCAATATAAATTGTTACCGGTAAGACAGAATGTTACTACCACCCCGGGTTGACAAAAAATGCTTATCATACTATTTCATAATATGGAAAAGTGCTTATGATACTATTTCATAGACCAAAAAAATCTATGAAATTAGCATGGTAAGCATTTTTTCCATAGTATGAAATAATATGATAGGCATTTTTTCCATACTATGAAATTGTGAGACAAGCATTTTTTCCATAAATGAAAACACCAAAAAATATTTATTTTGAAATTCTGTGTTTCATCCGAAACACTAGCCCTTGACTTTTTGTCATAAGAAAACCCAGTGTGTAACTGGCAGTTACCACGCAGATAACTGCATTTGGTGATTTTTGCCACCTACATTAATTTTTACATTTTCACATGGAATTATATACCAAAAGTGTAACTTTTTGTATATGGCTAGATAATTTTTGGTTTGAAAATTTTGGTAGTTGAGAAAAAACGCCTGTTTTTTTTACAAATTTATTTTTATCTTAGCAAATGAAATAAAAAAATAATACTCGTGTTTTTAGTCAGTGAGAAAAGATTGAATCGATTAATAAGCGTTAAGCTCCAAGTAAGTATTGATGTAAAATTTTCAGACGAAATCACAGAGGAAATGCAGTCTGTGATTAAGGAGGTTTGATTTCACGCTTCCGTTTTTAAGTTTCTTTTATATATTTCGTTGATGGAAAAAAGACTGATTGGAATAATCTTTACTCCTTAAACAGCAACCGCCTGTTTTTGGCTTTAAACATTTTTTGAAGCTTCTAGACAATTAAGTTTTGAAAAAGGGGCGCCGGTCGCGGTGGTTTTTTTTCAGTCGCGCCAATCTTCAATTAACAAGTTTCGGTCGCGCCGGTCTCGAATTGCCAATATAAAATTGCGCCGATCTGGAATTGCCAAATTTGGGTCGCGCCGGTCTTTTCTGAAGTCGCGGAACTCGACCCGGGTTATGTCGAATAGACCAAACATATTGTATGTAAAATTAGTTTAATTTACCTTATGAAGTTCCGCCACAAAATTTGAGATAATTATATAAAATAGTGAAAATGATATACTTTGGAAAGTGTCCGTGAAAACAATAAATAACACAAATTTTCATCTGTTGTGTGATTGCTTTTGACTCGCAAATGTCATGCAAGTGACATTTTGGGGAGATTTTGATGGAGGTTCTCGTTAGCCGGGGCAGATAAATCAGCGTGTTAACTTCTAAATGTGAACAGTTAAAGTGTTCATGGCACTTTTGTATTTTGTGAGTTACCATATGGTAGATTTTCTCTCATTTCTTATACGCTTTTCTTGATTTCCGTCGGCGATTTTTGTTCCGTTTTCGAGTTTAAGCGAGATTGTGTATGAATGAATATTAAAATAACAGTTCTAGCCCCAGGATAAATTTTTGAGGTTGGAAGAAACGTGTTTAGACTTAAGAGGTGGTCGAGGAATGTAATTGTAATTGCAGAGCACTTTATAAATTTGAGAGTCTCGGGGCAAATTCAATTTTATTCAATTTTCCAACCGGGAATTTAGCTGCCACAAAATAGGTAAAATGGCTTATAGTCAAAATCAGAGGCGCGAGGGTGAAATTAAACGCTCCTCAATTTGGCGTTTCAAAAGGACAATGAAGATAGAAGACCGGGGCTAAAATGGAGTGAAAAGCCAGGCGACTGATTGATGGAAAAAAGATGATTAGCTGCCCGTTTTTACTGAATTATTCTTGCGCTCGAAAATTACAAGGTGATATTCGAGACTAAAAGTGTCACTAGACTAAATGACAATCAAACTTGGTATATATAATTTTTTTTTCAAATTTTTCTTCGGAGCTGAAATAGTGTAATGAGAAATAATTTTTTTGTCACGTGATGAAGTAGTGTGAAAAAAAGGGTTCATAAAAACGCAATTTGCTATAGTTTCTATCAGAGCTAACCAAAAATAACAATTGATGTAAAATAGAGAAAAAAAATTGTTACGCATTTGCTACTATATTTTACGTGGCCATATTTTGAATTACGCAGAAAAAAAATCCGGAAAAAATTATGGCACAGGCTGTGAAACAGAGTACAAATGTAAATATTGGACCACCAAAAAAATCAACAACTACACAATTTTAAATATACATCTATTTTTTAGAACGTGCGTTCGTTCAAATTCTGTATTTAAACTTTTGCAATCACTAACAAAGGCAGTAATTCAATCAAAAACAGGATAATTTTTTTAGAACATACAAGGCTGGAAAAAGTATAATTAAATAAAAACTGAGATGAATTGATCTGAATTGGAAGAAAAAAAATTTCAAGTCAAAAAGAATTGCGATCAGAGCTTAATTTGTTGTTAAGTAAGTTCAAAACATAGTGAAAAAATGCCAGATCTTGCGCGATATGTTTTTGACATCACGCTGTAACTTCAAACTAAAAATGAAATTTACCCGCGCTGCGAGCTATAGTTAGAGGTGTATTAATACCAAATACTTGTATTGCTCTCTAAAAGTTTATTTGGATCCTTTTTGTGTACGTATTAGGCTAAATATGACATGACCATATTGTATAAATTAAGGTGAAACTCGATTGATGTTGCGATTGTAATCTGAAGTGGATTTAAAGCTGGTCAAAATTGGTTCATGTTCAAAAATAAAATGTGAGTTAACGCAGAATAATAGTTTTTGGTCGTTTTAAGTTGTTCATTTTAGCCTGTAAAAAGTTTTTGAAAGTACCAGGCTGATGAATTAAGTCCAGATACATTTTTTTCTTATTGCGAAAAAAAACGTAGAAATTTGATTGTTCAATTCTTATGAATATCTAATTGAATGGTGCAACAATTATGCAATTTCAATTTACTAATCTGCTTCAACTATTTTCGGTATTCTGACCTACCAACATCGCAAGTTTAAATTGCATAGGCGGAAACATGTTTTATATTTAATCAAAAGAGGACTTAGGAAGTTTTTAGCAATTACAGAACTTATTGTTCCGATCATTTGAAAAATAGGGAGGAACTTTGTAATCGGGTTGTTTTGGTTTTTTCTTTGTTCTCCACACAAAATCAGATACCACAAATAATCAACGGACTAGGTTGAAAAAATTATCATTTAAAGCCCTATCAATTGTGATTCGAACGACAATTAGAAATTTGAAAAATATTTTCCCAGTGTCGAGAAAAATCGGTTTGAAAATTTCGATTTTTTGTTCAATTTTGAGCGAGTCAGCAGGCTTACCATTTGCTTATTTATGCTTGCAAATTTAGTTTTCCCCAAATAAGTTATTTTTAGGAGTTTTTAGCGCCATCTTAGGAATCAAAAAATTTGTTTGTTTTTCCTGCCATTTTTCTTCAAAAATTGTTTTCCAATTTGAATAATTTTCTATGACTGACGAAAATGCCTCAGCATTGCTTTTTTTTGTTCATATACTTTTATTACACCACAGTAGAACGAAGAATGCTTTTCTGTAATTTTAAAGATATGGCCGGATCATTCTGTCGAATAATCTTAAATGCAGCGTTTCGTTTATATCCATTTATCACACCACGCAAAACATCACGAGGCCAAACTGTGCACTGGTTAGGCGCACAATTTTGTGTCTGTATGTTCCTGGATTCCAGAGACAAGTCTTTAAACATGTTAAAATTTTGTCGGAACGATCAAAGGAAATTAAAGAACAAAAGAAGAACAAAGGGAGCGTCCTTATTGCGGAATCCGCTTACAATGAACAAAATGCGCAGTTTGGCCTCGTAATGAAGAAAAACCGACACTAATTTGAGAACAAAAAATTTGTGCGTTTCCTAGACCATGGTCTGAACATACTGTGCTACTTGCACAGTAACCGGCCATCCTTGTTATGTGGTTACAGGTAGTTTCAGTTGATTCTCACCTTGAAGATTTATATCAGGTCGCTTGATATCAGCGCAGACATTCTCCATTATATACAGAGCTATAAGTAGGGCATACTAAGGCACGTCTTTTTATATAATATCGAAAGGTATACCTTTTCTTCCTTTTTGTTTAGTTCTTTTTGGCTCTTTTTCCAACTTCCTTATAAAATAGGTAGTAATATGTAAAGTATTCCGTTGTTTGAAAAAATGGCGTTTTCAAGAATCTTTTTGATCTAGTTACAAATTATGGTAATTATTCAATGAAGCCAATATTTTGCTCTATGGTACTCTCATGTTGAGGGATTTTTTGATGTGTTCAACTCAAACGCTGATTCGCTGTACAATTGTCTCTTTTCTCCTACTTGGTTGTCGGCAAAAAATTTGAGCTAATTTTCAAGTCACTCTACTCAACTAACTATTTAAGTAACTAACTCACTAACTAACTGAAAAAACTACTTAATTAATTAACTAACTACCAAGCAACTAACTAACTAACTAACTAACTAACTTACTAACTAACTAACTAAATAACTGACTAACTAAATAACTAATCAAACAGCCAACTAACTAACAAAACTAACTAACTAACTAACTAACTAACTAACTAACTAACTAACTAACTAACTCATCAACTAAATAACTAACTAACTAACCAACTAACTAACTAACTAACTAACTAATCAAAGAACTACTTAATTAACTAACTACCTACCAAGCAGCTAATTAACTAACTAACTAAATAAACAACTAATCAACCAGCCAACTAACTAACTAACTAACTAACTAACTAACTAACTAACTAACTAACTAACTAACTAACTAACTAACTAACTAACTAACTAACTAACTATCTAACTAACTAACTAACTAACTAACTAACTAACTAACTAACTAATCAATTAACTAACTAACTAACTAATCAAAAAACTACTTAATTAACTAACTACCTACCAAGCAGCTAACTAACTAACTAACTAAATAAATAACTAATCTTGCAGCCAACTAACTAACTAACTAACTAACTAACTAACTAACTAACGAACGAACTAACTAACTAACTAACTAACTAATCAACTAACTAACTAACTAACGAACTAAATAACTAACTAACTAACTAAATAACTAACTAACTAACTAACTAACTAACTAAATAACTAACTAACTAACTAACTAACTAACTAACTAACTAACTAACTAATTAACTATATAACTAATTAACTAAATAAATAACTAATCAACCAGCCAATTAACTAAGAAACTAACTAACTAACTAACTATATAATCAACTAACTAACTAACTAACTAACTAACTAACTAACTAACTAACTAACTAACTAAATAACTAACTAAGCAACTAACTAACTAACTAACTAACTAACTAACTAACTAACTAACTAACTAACTAACTAACTAACTAACTAACTAAATAAATAACTAACAAAACTAACTAACTAACTAACTAACTAACTAACTAACTAACTAACTAACTAACTCATCAACTAAATAACTAACTAACTAACCAACTAACTAACTAACTAACTAACTAACTAATCAACTAACTAACTAACTAACTAACTAAACAACTAACTAACTAACTAACTAACTAACTAACTAATTAACTAACTAACTAACTAACTAACTAACTAACTAACTAACTAACTATCTAATCAACTAACTAACTAACTAACTAATCAAAAAACTACTTAATTAACTTACTACCTACCAAGTAGCTAACTAATTAACTAATTAAATAAATTACTAATCAACCAGCCAACTAACTAACTAACTAACTAACTAACTAACTAACTAACTAACTAACTAACTAACTAACTAACTAACTAACTAACTAACGAACTAACTAACTAACTAACGAACTAACGAACTAACTAACTAACTAACTAACTAACTAACTAACTAACTAACTAACTAACTAACTAACTAACTAACTAACTAACTAATCAACTAACTAACTAACTAACTAACTAAATAACTAACTAACTAACTAACTAACTAACTAACTAACTAACTAACTAACTAACTAACTAACTAACTAACTAACTAACTAACTAACTAACTAACTAACTAACTAACTAACTAACTAACTAACTAACTAACTAACTAACTAACTAACTAACTAACTAACTAACTAACTAACTAACTAACTAACTAACTAACTAACTAACTAACTAACTAACTAACTAACTAACTAACTAACTAACTAACTAACTAACTATATAACTAATTAACTAAACAAATAACTAATCAACCAGCCAATTAACTAACTAACTAACTAACTAATCAACTAACTAACTAACTAACTAACTAACTAACTAACTAACTAACTAACTAACTAACTAACTAACTAACTAACTAAATAACTAACTAAGCATTTAGCTAACTAAATAAATAAGTATCTAAATAACTAAATAACTTATTAACTAAATAAATAAGTACAAACTAAACAATTAACTAACAAAAATATAAAAATAAATAACTGACTAACTCACTGACTAACTTACTAACTAACTAACCAGCTACAGAAAAAATGATTGTGTGAAAGCAAATGGATATAGCTGATGAATGAGAGTCTGGATTAACTATGTCAGTTCAACTAAATAACTAACTAACTAACTAACTAACTAACTAACTAACTAACTAACTAACTAACTAACTAACTAACTAACTAACTAACTAACTAACTAACTAACTAACTAACTAACTAACTAACTAACTAACTAACTAACTATATAACTAATTAACTAAACAAATAACTAATCAACCAGCCAATTAACTAACTAACTAACTAACTAACTAACTAACTAACTAACTAACTAACTAACTAACTAACTAATCAACTAACTAACTAACTAACTAACTAACTAACTAACTAACTAACTAACTAACTAACTAACTATATAACTAATTAACTAAACAAATAACTAATCAACCAGCCAATTAACTAACTAACTAACTAACTAACTAACTAACTAACTAACTAACTAACTAACTAACTAATCAACTAACTAACTAACTAACTAACTAAATAACTAACT